AGTGTGGATGGTTTCAGCACAAGGCAAACCCTGGACTGGGTGAGATGCAAAATTGCCTTTAATCTTGGCACATGCTCAAGGCATCCCAAAAACAGAATATAATGATGACATTTTTAAATGGCTTTAAGAATTCCTGGAGTTGGCTCCAATAATTGATGAGACCTAAAGACACCATAGTCTCTCCTGATCTTAAGGAGCATATTGATACTCCTTGGTGTGAGCTGTTTAAACTAATATGCCAAATAGATCCATTTGATTATCCTAATGCCCCACTCCTAGTACCGTGTTTTGTATTAGTCAGGGTTTTACCAGAGGAACAGAAAATACAAGGAACAGATACAACACAAGATGTACAAATGTACAAGAAATTACAAGATTGGCCTACGACAGTCAGACACAGAGTTGGGTGAGGTAGCATGCAGAAGGCGTCTGCACACCTGAGACTGAAGGATTCAGTCAAGGTCTGAAGCTAACTGTAGTGTTCCATGCAAGTCTCTATCAGTCGGCCAGTGGGTCTGCTACAGAAGGCTGAAGAATCTGTGACAGAAAGCTTAAGGATCCGAGCTGGAGAGTCTGCACTGGAAGCCAGATGATGTCCAAGTTGACTGCGAAGACTTAAGTTTCTCTAAGGAAGTGCATGTCCCGAGTTACAGGGTATTGCTGACTCATTTGGTTGTCCGGGCTGGGCTTACTTGCCACCCCTTCTGCCTCACAGTTGTACACTACCATTCCTAGCACTGTCTGCTTTATTGTTCAGACTTTTTAGGACTATGTGCTACCCCCCACCATGTTCAGGTATTATTTGTATAAAAAGGTGAGTTTTAAAAATCCATTAGATTCATATAGAGTTAGGATTGCAAAGACACAGTTATTTAAGTATTTTTCTTTAGATTTGGCATATAGTAATTAGACAAGTCTACAGGTGATTCAGAGAAGAGACAGATTTAGGATATGATTACATTAGAATTTTCGTATTTGAAATAGAAGATATTTTGTTTTTGGACTTAGACCTCTAAGGGACTATCTAAAGGATGGTGAGATAGCAGTAATGTGGGGTACCACTTCCTTTTTTGGGAACAAAGAGAAGTGATTTAACTGTGACCTTAACGTCCAAAGGGCTAAAATGAAGCCCAGTGGAAAGAAGTACCCAGGCATAAGAAACAGGAAGGCAAGGCCCTGGTGATGGGTGAGAGCTCATCTCAGAGGCTGGGCTCCGCCAGGGTGAGAGGTTTTACTCTTAGAGCGGGAATGGAAGCTTTGGAGACTGCGCGATCTCTGAGAGGACTGTGATGCTGAGTGAGATACACTGTCTTCTGTTGAGCTGAGTGGACAGCTTGTGTGTACTTCTTGCTTGTGAGCAACCTGAGGACATAGGTAATTCAAGATGGGTGTTGTAAGCCTTGTTTCTGTTCTGTTTTTGATGAAGAGCAGCTTTCTGGATTTTATCTTTTTTTTTTTTTTTTCTGGCGGAACCAGGGATTGAACTCAGGCCCTTGCACTTGCCAGGGAAGTACTTATTCCATTGAGCCATCACCCCGACCCCTCTGGCTTTTATCTTTACAGCTCATTTTTTGAGCTTTATCTCTTCACCTTTGGTGGAAAACTTTGTAGTGATGTAGCAGATTTAGGCTGCAGCAACTAGATACATACGCTGCTTTACCAGATGCCATTCCTTTATTTATTTATTTATTTAGTATCAGGGATTGAATTAAGGTTCTGGACTTGCTAGGCAGGTGCTTATGCCCTTGAGCTATCTCCTCTTCCCCATTTCTAAAGGCCTATTTATTTAATTATTTTTGTTTCTATCAGGTACATCAATTTTTGTCTAATTTGCTCAGCATTGGTCTGAAGGTACTGACTTTAGTAGTCCAGTTGCTGCTATTTATCATTCTCTGCCCAGTTACTAATTGCAGTACCTTTCTCATGTTTGTGTCTCATACTCAGAAACTTTTAAGGGCTTCTGCCTTGTCTCTTAAGTTAGTCTGTAAATATATAGTATTTTCATTCTGAGCCCAGTTTCATCTTACTTTGTCCCAACCAATCATCCAGCCATTTGCACTGGCCTCAGAATATGCATGGAATGTGAGTTGTGGAAGGGAATTAAGTGCATGTACTGTGCTGAAGTAAGTCCCCCTTCACTGAGACTTTCCAGAGCATTGTGTCCTGTGGTCGAGTCTGCCTGAGGCCAGCCAGAATTTAGCAGGGATTGATTTTCAGGAGCTGGAGTGAAAAGTTGGGAAGAGAGGTACGGTGTGCATGATTAAAAAAAATTCCAAAGGTACAGAAGAATACAGTGAGAGGTATATATTTCTTTTCTTTCTCTGCCTTTATAGTCCAGGGGTCAGCAAACTTTAGTTTATCACTGACTGCCTCTGTGTGTGTGTGTGTGTGTGTGTGAGAGAGAGAGAGAGAGAGAGAGAGAGAGAGAGAGAGAGAGATGTGATACTAAAGTTTGAAGTCACGGTTGATTTACTAAGCTGCAACCCAGCCTTTTTCACTTTTGTTTCAAGAAGGATTGAAGGGAGAGGAAGGAAATGGGAAAAAGGAAGAATCAGGATATATTGTGTACAAGTATAAATTCCCTGCAATGAATGTGTGTAGTATATTAAAAGTATACCAAGGAAACTAATTAAAAAACAAAACCAGGAGCCCCTAGGCGTCCCCTCAAAGAAATGATAAATGTTTAAGAAGCTAGAAATGTTAACTACCTTTATTTGATCATCACTGTATACAGGTACTAAGTTGTCACGCTGTATCTCATACATGTATACAGTGATCTGTATCACTTAAACTTTTTTTTTTTTTTTTTGGCGGAACTGGGGATTGAACTCAGATCCTTGCATTTGCCAGTGAAGTGCTTGTCCTACTGAGCCATCTCCCTGGCCCCTGTATCACTTAAACTTTTCAACAGGCAAAATAAAGGACAGGGTCTAAGTTGCTCAAGGTGGCCTCAAACTTTCTATCCTCCTTCAGTCTCCTGAATAGCTGTGGTTGCAGGCATGTGCAACCACACTGAGCTCTGTTTTTTGTAATGTTGTATTGCAGCAGAGCCATACTTATTTAAATATTACCCAAAGCTGCCCTCATGTTACAGCAGCAGAGTTCTGTGATTACCACAGAAAGTGGGGGGGAGCCCCAGGGCACTGTGGCTCACCAGCAGCGGCTGCACAGGTGACACAGCCCCATGATTGAGAGCAGTGTGTAGCCCATTTCCTTCTGGATCTCAAGACCTTGAAAAAGGGAGTTTACCTTCTCTTTGAAGCCCACTTCAGGGGCTTTCTTTTCAGTTTGACCTCTGGGGCCTTACAGAATGAGTAGACTCACACAAACTTTCCCTGGTATTAGACAGTGATACCCTGGCTTCCCTGGTCTCTCATGTGATTGTTTTAGAGCTGGAACCAGCAAACTTTTTATTAAGGATCCAAGGATAAATATTACAGGTTTTTCAGGTCACTGCTGTGCTGATAAGATCTTATACAGAGGCTTATAAGATCTCTGGTATAGAGTCTTCCTGTTAACTCTTTTCCTTCCTTTCCTCTCTACTGTCAAGGCTTTTATCTTCCTACCGTCCCCCTCCTGATGCATCTTTGTCTTACAGTCTTTTTAAAATGTTAAGTAACATTCACCCAAAGAGGCTGGATTTGGCCTCAGTAGTAGCTTGCGAGGCCCTGACCATAGAATCTCCTTCCGTCACAGGTAAGAGTTCAGAGCAGTGGTGAGGGGCTGAACAGCACTGAGTACTGGGAGCTGGTCACTTACATGGGAAGGTACAGTGCTTTGTGCTCATTGGAGCTTTGTCACATTTTCATCTTAATACCACAAAAGATTCTGGTTTATCTTTTTATTGGGATTTACTCCCTTCTGGGTTTTTTTTTTTTTTTTTTGGTCTAGGATATTTTTAAACTTCATTATATTACCACCCATACATCCAGTTGTATTAAATCTTACCTTAGCTAGAGCTAACTCTTAGTAGCCTGTGAGAGCTGAATCCTTCATGAGATTTCTCTCAGGCTTCAGGGCACTTGAATGTTTGATAAATTCTGGATCTTCCAACCAAGTTACAAGTTAACTAATAAAAATTTTAGTGAGACGTAGTGAAAAGCTAACTCTCAGATAACAAATACTTAAAATAATTTTAATGTATGGATATAGCTTTTTTTTTTTCAGTACTAGGTAGTGAATCCAGGGTGTTAGGACTGAGCTACATATATTCCTTGCTCTATCTGTCTATCTATCTATCTATCTTTTTTTTTTTTTTTTTGGTGTGTGTACAGGGTCTCACTACAGCTTGAACTCATAGTGATCCTGTTTTCTGCCTCCCTAGTGTTGGGATCACAGGTGTGCCCCACTATACCCAGACTCTATCGCAGGCTCAGCACACCCAGGGGTGAGGCATGCAGTGCCAGGGACGGAACCCTGGTCCCCCCTGTGCTTGCCTAAGCAAGTGCTTAGTCCACTGAGAAATCTTGTTGGCCCTGCCCTTTTTATTTTTTTATTTTTTTGGTGGTACAGGGCTCAAACTCAGGACCTTGCACTTACCAGGCAAGCACTTCACTGAGCTATCTCCCTAGCTCCTTTTAATTTTTGGACACAGGATTTCACTTAGTTACCCAGATTGAGCTCATACTTAACTATCCTTGTACCTCAGTCTCCCAGAGTGCTGGGATTCCATGCCTTACTTGTATTTATTTTAAATTATTTTAGAGAATTACCCATTTTCATTATACTGACTGCTATCAAAGATAACTGTCTTTAAAATGTCTTTTTTTTTTTTTTTTTGTGGTACCAGAGATTGAACTCAAGACCCTACACTTGTGAGGCAGGCACTTATTCTACTGAGCTATCTCCCCAGCCTCTAATGTCTTTCAAAGTGATAATGATCATGACAAAAAAAAAAAAACCCTCAATCTTAATTAACATGCAAAAGAAGAGATTTCCCATTTTTTTTCTGGTAATTACCTGATAATTACTTAACTGATAATTGTATTTTTTTATTTCAGAAAGGATTTACACCAGCTGCCCCAATTCATGCCAATAAAGAAGATCCAGCTACTCAAACTAATTTAGGATTTATTCATGCGTTTGTCGCAGCCATATCCGTCATCATTGTATCTGAACTGGGTGACAAGACATTTTTCATAGCAGCCATCATGGCCATGCGCTATAACCGGCTGACTGTGCTGGCTGGTGCCATGCTGGCCTTGGCCCTCATGACGTGCTTGTCAGGTGAGTGTCCTGCTAGCCCTGGCCTGTTTGCTGAGTTAAGAGTAAGGCATGGTGTGTGGTGTTGAGCCCTTGATTCATTCAGCTACTTGGATTGGAATTTGGTTTATGTTCTAGAATTTAGTAAACAGCAAGTGGTTTTAATACATTAATTCTTACGGCCCAGATTATACTTTTTAAATGAAATCTTTTACTATTTCAAGCCAAAATGCATTCTCCATCATTTGTTCACTGTACTAAGTTCTTTTTCAGCTTTTTTTTAAAAATTAGTTCAAGTTTGCTTATTTATATTTCATATTTTAGAAATAAGATTCAGGACCATAATTACGTATTTTCTTGTTAAGTGAACACGTGGGAGGTAATGGCTAAGAAATGACTTTCACTTTAATGTGTTTTATAAACTATCCTAATAGGAAATGAAATGTTCTTAGAACTACCGTTTTTTGTTTTTTTTTTTTTTTGTATTTTAGGGAAGGGCCTACAGGGTATTTGGGTCTCACTACTAGATCAGACTCATAGTGATCTGCCTGTTTACAGCCTCCTAAGAGTGGGATTATAGGCCTGCGCCACCACACCCATCTCAGCCTGCCCTGCGGGGCTGGCACAGCATGCCTCTGGGCCTGCTTGCAGGTTCTTTAATCTGCTGAACTATTTGGCAGCCCAGAACTCCTTGTTTATGTTACTGTTTTGTTTATTAATTTGAAGGTTTTGGTTTTTCAAAGCTTTAGATCATAAGAAAGGTTAACACTAAAAGAACAATCCAGTTTTTGATTTTACGGCACCCACAGCCATGAAGTTTGATGGAAGTAGTGCTTTTCCTCTTGGAACCAAACTTGGGTTTGTAACTTGCCCTGGGTTAGCCTGATTGTAAGTTATTTCACATCTTGAGCTGTAGTCTCCACCTGTCAAATGGCGATTATATCTTCTACTTCATCAGCTGTGATGTGTATTAATGAGTATGTTATTTGGAGTGCCTTGTCATTCACTTCCCCGCAGCTTGCCTTAAATTTGTCATAGTAAACTCATTTTTTTTTTTTTTTTTTTTTTTTTGGAGGCTCGAAATGCCTTTAGGGCATTTCTGGTTTGCAGTGACTGTCTGGGTTGGAACCCCAGAAGCTTGAGCTTGAGGGCTTTGTTTAAGCAGGCACTTAAACAACTGAGCTGCTGGGCAGGTCCCCGGTAAACTCATTTCTTACAGTGCAGAACAAGTTCATTTCTGGCTGCTTGGTACATGTATACTTGATGAGTTTGTCTTTAGAAGCATATTAGTGAGCATTTTACCAATTAAAATAATTTGATTGCTGTATGGGAATTATCAGTAAAAACAACTTTCCCTTCAGGAGCAGGTTAATTACATTTTAGTACTTGTGCTGCCTCAGCGAGCATAGCTAGTTGATTACGGAGACAGGAAATGGGGAGAGTTGCAGATGGTGGCATCACTTGAAATGAGTTTGCATAGAGTCAGAGACGTGTGTTGCTGAATTTTGCAGCTTCAAGGGTGGATGGAAGTCTCTGGCGTCTGCGTGGGATCTCTCTGGAATCACTCCTTGTGGTCCTCCCCGTTTCTTCGGTGTTCAGCTCCTTCTCTTCCTCTGCTAGAGTACAGTGCCTTCTGTGTCCTAGGCATGTGTCTCCTTCTAGCTGCTGGCACTGTCTGCCAGCCCTCACCTGTGACCTTGAGCTGATGTACCGCAGCAATCTGCCAACCTTTCCCTATGTGTCATCTTGAAAATCATTTTGGAAAATTATGTACCCACTGTCACACTGAATTACCTGAATTTTTTTATTACTCATTTAAAGGGTTACAAAAATGTGATTTCTGGTATATTGTGTAAAGTGAGACTGGTGCAGTGTTTAAAATATACCCAATGGATGCTAAACACTGTTAGTGTTTGATACCTACCATCACCATCATTCCCTTGGGAAAAAACCTCATAAACTCTTTTGTGATACTGAGGGTCCAACTAGCAGCCTATGTAGTACGGTATATTTCTACCTATTTTTATTGTGAGGCGGGGTCTTACTAAGTCACTAAATTGTCTGGTCTTCAATTTTCGATCCTCCTGACCCCTCAGCCTCCCAGAGTTTAAAGGTGTGCATCTCCAGACCTGGCTCTTTAAAAACTGGAAATGTGTGTCTTAATGATATAATGGGTTGTTTGTTATTTTTAAATTCATTTGTGTGTCTGTGGATGACTATCACTTGTTGCTAGAGTGACATAAAGCTTAGTATCAACACTGATCTTTTCTAAGAGAAGATAAATGTAAGGGCTGAGGAATTTTCTTCATTAAGTAAATTGTTGGGAGGACATTTCTGATAGTCATGTCACTCAGTTCAAAGCTCTTAAGTGCTAAAAATCATATACTGGTCTGTTCCTAAAATGATTTTTAATGTTAGCTGACACCTCAGTATGGTCCTCTGTCAGTTTTGCCGCACACAGAGAATTGCAAACCATGATACCAAAAAAGGCTTTTCTGGATTACCGAATTACTCTCCCTATTTGGATCATCTTTTGCTGACAAGTATCTTGTTTAACTGTATGTATTTAGGCATGGTTGAAAAAATTGAAAATTTTGTTAATTTCAGTGTCCTTTTGTCAGTAAGATGCTTCACTGCAAGGAAAGATTTGTAAAGAAAGGAAAATAAACACAGTAATTTGGGGAAGAAAACAGTGATAATGTTTCTCCCAGCAGAGATGGCAGGGCAGAAAAATATCGGTAAATAACTTTTTTAAGATACAGTAGACTGGTCATCTGAAGTTTTATTTTTTGCCGTTTTGGTTATTTGTAGTCAAATGCGGTCTGAAAATACTAAATATAAAATCCCAGGAAAGACCACCCAAACCTTAAATTGTGCGCTGAGTCTGTGCTGGTGCCCTTCCTCCCGCTTGGGCCATGAATCATCCCTTGGCCGGCATTTTCGTGCTGTGTGTAGCACTCTTTGTCACCGAGTGTTTCTCTTGTTTCTCAGAACAACTGCTGCAGTGCTGTGTTCACACATTTGCTAAGTGTCCAAACAGTGATGCCAATCTGTACTGGGGGAAGAGAAGGTTAATTCTGCTATGGAGTGGCTGTGCTCCCCAGGCATGCATAAAGGAACAAGCTCCATGAACTTAGGGTCTGGTTCTAGCCCAGGGCTCACGCATCTGCTGGCCTTCTTGGAACATACCTTCTGCAGGGGAAGGGAGATCGCTGTATCTGAGGCTGAAGGGATAACTATGCTCAGGAGATTGTAAAGGTTTGCTACATTTCATTTTGGAAATTTTAAACTTTGTGGAAGTAATTTAAATTCATAAAGCTGTGCAAGTGAGATAATATAAAGAACACCTGTGCATACGTTTAGTCAGATTCACCTATTTTTGCTTCATTCTTTTAGAATTTGTTTGCTTTAATTGGCAAAATTATGTTTGTTTGGATCTCCATGTCAGGGTTTCTCTTTTATACTGTCTTGTGGCTTCTATGCAGGCTGATAATCTTCCTTATGAAAAGCTCTCCATAGAGTTAGCATGTTTGTTCCATCATCCTTACCTTCCTTCAGTGCATGTAAAGTTTACAACTACCTGTATTTCCCAGTGAGTGCTGGCATTCTGCTGTATACAGAACTTTTCCTCTCCCATTTTTCTATTTATTTAGTTCTTTCAGCAGCTTTTAGCTAATTATTCATGTTTTGTGGGTGGCATTGTTCCAGATTTGGCCCAGGGAACCTTGCCAATGGTCTTGTGACATACTTCTATCATTTGTGTTCATTTTTCCTTTCTTTCCAGTGTAACAAGATATTGCATGTTCATTATCTCTGCCCAGTCTTGTCCATTTCTCTGAGTAGCCTTTTAGTGGAAAATGGTATTAGAACTCAAGATCTGGGTGTAAAGTGGGCTCTTTATTCCTGAGATGTCGTTTCTTAGCCTTTTCAGTGGACAGAGCTAAAAAAAATATATCCCTACATTTTGTCTATGTGCATTCATATATATGTAATAAGGAATTTAAAATTTTTTTCAGGATGTATTTGTAAGCAAGGAGAGGTTTAAATTGTGGTACATATGTCATTATTTGTGCCTATAGAACAATGCTGGCAGACCTATGACATGTGCACCGTAGCCTCCTGTTATCATTGAAAGCTTTGAAAGGGTTCATCATCACTGCTATAGAAGTTTATAATTAAAAGATTTGTAATGAATATGGATCTACATATGGATGTGGTATACTTTCCAAGTTATAAAATCTTGGAATCCTTAACGGGTATCTATCCTACCTCAAATACCAGGCCCTTATGACACAACTGACAAGCAAGCGCTTGGCTGAGCTTGTCTGGAGGGGGTCAGTGTTTTAGGAAAGGCCTAGTGAAGATGGACCACTTATATCTTGGGATACTGAGTTAGGACCTTGGCTGGATATCAGGGTTCAATTAATGCTAGAGGGAAATAAGTGGAATTATTAAGGTCATTACATACTAGTTTCTACTGTGTACCGTTTTCCCTTTTAACAGGGGTAAACCAGGATTTCTCTGAAGTTAGCTGTTTCTTCAGTTAGTTGTGATATTTGCCAGCTAACCAGATACACTGTTGGTCATATCTTCTTCCAGTTTTGTTCGGCTATGCCACCACAGTCATCCCCAGGGTGTATACATACTATGTTTCAACTGCATTATTTGCCATTTTTGGCATTAGAATGCTTCGAGAAGGCTTAAAGATGAGTCCAGATGAGGGTCAAGAGGAATTGGAAGAAGTTCAAGCAGAATTAAAGAAGAAAGATGAAGAAGTAAGTCATGGCACTCTTAAGACTCTGAGCCAGAAAGGTATTCACTGGGGAATAAATGCTAGCCAGAGGCTTTTCAGTGGCCACATTTGTGTGATACATGTGGGCATCACAAAAAGTGTGATGGTTTGGTTTGCATTCCTATCTTTGTGATATCATTCCGGGTTACTGGTAATGTGGTAGATAAGGAAGCAGCTAAATAGTGAACATGGGTGTTCAGATTTTTTTTTTTTTTTTTTTGTCCTTTTGGTACTGGGAATCAAACTCAGGACCTTGCACTTACCCAGCAGATGCTTGTGCCACTGAGCTGTCTCCCTGGCCAGAGTCCAGAGTCCTTAATTAGGCTGATTTGAGCTCCTGAAAAGCAGGACCTGTACATAGTTATTTTACGTTTATTCTATAGCCTCTAGGACAGTAAGTGATCAGGAAATGCCACTTATTTTGTTGAAGAGAAACCGAAGCATTGAGAGTATAGCATTTGTTGCTACATGAACTAGTGGTTCAGAGGGTGGGAGAGTTGGGGCTCACCAAAGTTTTATTTCTTTGAAATACTTAAAAAAAATTTTTTTTTGCATGTGCTATTTGGATTTGCTTTCTAGAATTAATGTCTTTTTTGTTTTAGTTTCAACGAACCAAACTCCTAAATGGCCCAGGAGATGTTGAAGTGGGGGCAAGCACAACGATACCTCAGAAAAAGTGGCTGCATTTTATTTCACCAATTTTTGTTCAAGCTCTTACATTAACTTTCTTAGCAGAATGGGGAGATCGCTCTCAACTCACAACAATTGTTTTGGCAGCTAGAGAGGTGAGTGACATTTGAGAGAAGACTATGTTTTGTATTAAAACTAAAGCATAATTAATGTTACTTTGTTGAGATATCACCTCACAGTCAAAGGCTTATTTCCTGTCTGTACTGGTTGTACACCTAGTCACCCTGCCCTGTTCCCAAATCAGCTTCATTTCCTGCTTGCAGTGTGATGGAGTTCTTACAGGTAGAAATTAGGCTTTTTTTCATGAAGTTTGCATAGGTTCTTAGGCCTTCTGCGATGTTAGTGAGCACGAGGTGAAAAGTAGAGAAGATTCAGTCAAATAAATTTGCCAGATAGTAAATCCTTGTTTTAGAATTCAGTGTGCAAAATAAAACTCTGACTCCTGTATTAAAGGAACAATTTAATTTTCTTTAACCAGGGATACTTTGAGTATTATTTTCAAATAGAGTAGCAATTTTAGAAGTCCTAATGTGCAAGTAGAATTTGGGAAATGTAGTCTGTTTATGTGTGCGTGTTAGTCCCAGTTTGCCTTGAATTCATCCGTTCCTCGCTGCCTGTTGTCTTCCACCCCAGTAGAGGCCAACATTGTCATCTTGCCACCTAGCTTTTTTCTTTTTTGTCCTTTTGAGATAGGGTTTCACTGTTCAGTTCAGGCCGGCTTTGAACTCCCAGCAGTTGCAGTCGTTCCCCCTCAGCCTTGATTGCTGGGATTACAGGTGTGTGCCACCACGGCAGGTGTTGCCTTCCAGTCTTGTTCTCCAGGCTTCTAGGTTCCTTCATGACCAGCTCCTGTTTGATGGGCTCTTCTCTTACTCATTGGTTTTCTGTAGAAATCCAGAAGCACTCTGCAGTTGGCCATGTCTTCCAGCTGGCCTTTTTCCCTTCTTCCCTAAACATGTTCCTTCCCCACCAAACAACATTAAATCATTTGCTAGCCACTGCTTATTCTTTAGGGCTATCTTTTCCATGCTGACTGCCTCCAGATGAGGACTTTGTTCCTGGCACCGGGGAAAGGGACTGGGGCATGGAATGTAGGAGCCAGAGTTTCTGTTTTTATAAAACAGCCAAGTTTTCCTTCCTTCTTTCTGCTTTAATGTCTAGTCGTAGCTATGACTGGTGCGTGTCCTGCAAGCAGCTGTACCACCTTTCATAAAACTACATTTTTACAATTGTACCTTTGTGGTAGATCTTTCATTTTTAGGGCTTAAGGTTTCCTTTTTTCAAGGAGTAAGTTCAAGCTTAGTTTCAGACTAGCAAATGAATGAGAGTTGTGCTTGCTTCCAGGATCCTTGTGGTGTAGCTGTGGGTGGAACAGTGGGGCACTGCTTATGCACTGGATTGGCAGTAATTGGAGGAAGAATGATAGCACAGAAAATCTCTGTCAGAACTGGTAAGGTTTTTTGATTTTCTTAATAATCTAACTTTTTAAATTAATAAGCATATCATTTTTTTAGTCACTGAGACTAGAAATAGGGTATTATCTTTAAGTTCTTAGCGCTGATGTATGCTGCTCTGGTGCTCACCTTTTTGAGGTCCTAAGTATTTTCTATCACTGGAAACATACTTTTTCCCTTGTGTACAAGCTGGTAAAATATAAATTCACCAAAAAGCATTACTGAATTCCATAGTAGCTTTTTTTGGATTTTTATGGAAGGGTCTACAGGTGTTCCGGGTCTCACTACTAGATCGGACTTGAGGGATCTGCCTGTTTACAGCCTCCCGAGAGCTGGGATTACAGGTGCATGCGCCACCACGCCCAGTTTCAATTGCCATCTCAGTGTGCCCAGGGGTAGGGCCAGCATGGTAGGCCCGGGGATCGAATCCTGGGCCCCTGCACCTTCTTGAAGGCGCTTTAATCCCCTGAGCTATTTGACCAGCCCTTCATAGTAGCTTGTAAGACATGTAGAAGTACAAGAAATCTTTGACTTTAAAAATTGCTGCGAGTGTCCTCTGCAGCAATTCAGTAATTCTGAGTGCTAGTGACAGTTTAAAGTCTTAGTTTGTTGTTGAACACTGTCTTATAATTTGGCTTTAAGACGAGTTATAGTTCAGATGCTTGACAGCACTGAGTTTAACATAACCTCATTTCCCAAAACACTGCCAGAGAAATCAATTCTTCCTGCTCAGTCAGGAGTGTTGTGTATCTTTGTTGTGAGTGGTGCTAGTTTTGAAGGTTTGTTTATGCATCTTCACTGATTGTTAGTATAGAATCAGGGTGTAGGAGAACCTTGGTTTATTTAACTTTTTTCTCTTTTCTTCTAGTGACAATCATAGGAGGCATCGTCTTTTTGGCATTTGCGTTTTCTGCACTATTTATAAGTCCTGATTCTGGTTTTTAACAATTTGTTCATCTGTATTTAGTATAAGATAGTAGCTTGCTGTACATAGTGTATACAACTAAAGATAATGGAAAATACTGTATTTTGTAGCACTGATTTGTTTGACCCACTTAATGAAATTACTATGTCCAAAAAAGATGATCATTGATTTTATACACAGAACGGATTTTTAAAAGAAACCTGACTTGTAAGTATGGATTTTTCTCCAATGTAATGATGTTAACATATGGCCCCTTTTGTTTGGTGTAATATGGAACCATGGTGCACTGGGGTCTGCCACTTGATTTTCTTTTAGCATGACTCCTTTATAAGGAACATATGTTCCCACCTTTGTGACTGAGGTGTTTTAAGATGCTGACTTCAAGCTTTTTCTTGGGCAAAGGATTAATCTGTATTTTTAAAAATATTTCCCTAAATCAGAAAACTGTAGTTTAATTTTGAGTCTTTTCACAATTAGGTTCTTTGCTTAAAGTCAAATATAGTATTACTACTGTTTTAGTAGACTAACGCAACAAGAACTGTTTGTGAGATCCATTCTTCCTTTTTTTATTGGGTAGGACACCCAATATAAAAGCAGTCAATATTTGACAACATGGAATTACCAAATTAAAAGAGAATACTATGAATGTATTCATATTTTTTCTATACTGAATAAACAATGTAACAGATAAAATGTAAATAAAAGTGTTATAGCCGGTGCTTGTTTTTGTGTTATACAACTTTCTATAAACTTAAAGGCAGCATTAGCATTTATAAGCTAGTTTCTAAAGCAGATGTGAAAACATCGATATGCTGCTCAACAGAAGCCTCTCAAATACTCTTAATACAAGCTTAAAAATAAAGACAGTGAACCCTAAACTTACTCAAGGGTGATGTGTACAACAGGTTAAGTTCCAGAACCAACAACTGTGCTACACTCCAGCAGCACTGTGCTAAAGCTGCCTCATTTTGTCATGGCAACGTCAGTGGTAATCACTCATTTAAAGTTTGTACCTCACTACACCTAAGTGGCTTAACACTTGCTTTCTTTTCTCCTGGCTTATGCTGTAGTAGCTTATGTGGTAACACTATCATAAATAGCCTCTTTAAATTTGAAGGACAACTTTTCTGTGGAAATGTCTGCATGTTCTGTTTATGCAGCAATTCAGGTGTACTGAACTACTGTAAATAGTCTATTCTACAATGTAATTTGAAGAAACTGAAATCACCCAGATGATACAACTGAGAACACCTGGCCACTAGGGACCCAGAAGTAGCCTCAGCTGGCAGGTAGCATGCAGATGTACAGGAGCAGTAGCACCTATTATGAAGCAAAGGTCACTTTAAGTATTTCTCTACTGTAAGAAGTGTGTTACAGTGTAGAAAATGCAATGTCCATGGCTTACGACAACAATTCAAGAAATTTTGGTCCCCGTGGAACAACCTTTAGTTAGATGTTACCACTAGTGTTTCTTTTCTAACAACAGAAAGGATAATTCCTTTCAGAAAGTAGTGGGTACCAGAGCCTCTTGAGCTTGGCAGATTGGAAAGCCGGACCCCAGTAGTAGCTTAGTACATAAAAAACAAGTACAACTTTCTGAGATATAATCTTGTAGCGGAATGACGAGAGAATTTGGAAATTCAGACTTAGGCTACACTGTAAAAATTACAACTAGTTAGGTTTTCACTATTAAATAAGAGGAAAATGTCAGTTGATAAGTGATTTTAAAATATTTAATAGCCTTTCTTTAAAATCCAAAATGTGATTCTTACAAGTTATGTTCCACATAAAGCAGGTGTTACTTTTGGAGAAATGCAGGTGATACTGAAAAACATAGCACTGAGGTATTTTTTATTTTTGAAATTGAAGAAGGAAACAAAGTCTGGATCTAAGTATTTTTACATTTACAGAAAACCCCACAAGACTACTGCTTGGCTCTTTTGCTATAACTTTAGGGTCTGAATACATTACAAGAGTATGGGTAAAGAGAATTATTATAGTACATAGATATTTTAAAAGCTATGTACATCATAACCTGGAAAAGTGATCATACAGCAAGAGGCCCAAGTGGAGGTAGGCTAATAACACATTTTGACTTCTCAAAGGATAGCTTTGAAAAACAAGTTTAATCAATGGTAATACCAAATAAAAATGACACTATTTGTAATAAAATGATGCACATATTTTATATCCTATTTCCAAACAGTTCATGAGAACCTAGTATTAGCACCGTTAAAACAATTCATTTTCCTTCATTTTGTTGTTTTTTTTTGTGCTATCGGGGATCTCACTTGGGACACCTTATACTTGCCAGGCAGGTGTTTATGCCTTCTGAGCTATATCCCCAGCTCACTGTCCTTCATGCTTAATTTGGCAGAATATAATACAAGGTCAGTGCTTAGTTTTTAAAATTAATTTAGATTTCAATTGTTTGCTTTAGAAAAAAAGAAGAAGGCATTCTTTTTTTTTGTGGAACTGGGGATTGAACTCAGGCCCTTGTGCTTGCCAGGTAAGCACTTATTCCACTGAGCCATCTCCCCCACCCCAAAAAAGGCATTCTTAACTCAAGATCATTAGCCATTTACAGCTCCACATTTTGCAAGGAAGAATGATGGGCTACACCTACTTTTTAAATTTAAAACCAAGAACCAAGCAGTAAGGACAAACAGCACAGTAAGAACCACACAAAACATGAAAAATTTGGTGCATGTTTTTACAACTACTAACTGAGGTTAACAATTAAAAATTTACAAAGATAAAACTTTCTTATTTTGCACTAACTTCAGTACAGCACTGATTTAACTTGTCTTTGGGCTTCAATTTTTACATAGAGTGAATATGAAAGTGCCATATTGAGGCCTTTCTCCAACTTAAACCATAGTACAATAGATTTCAACATAGTTCTAGAATGCTTTAAAGTACAGCTGTTTGGCTGACATTTTAAAAAGGACATTTCCTGGACAATATATTTTCTTTCCTTTTTTTTTGCTGGAACATGATTGTCTAGTTATGATACATCAATTTGAAGATAACAGCTTTTCCTACATTTTAACTTAGTACTGGTACAACCACTGCCAGCAGTGACCTAGTATCAGTACAGGCCAACTTAGAACACACAAAACATTTCTTAAAGCGATGTCACAGTTTGTTTCCTCAGATTTAAGTGCACATATTTGAAAACAGCATTTCTTCCAGTAAATCATCAGACATTTACATCATTAAACCTAACCTGTGGTTGATGTATTTCAGTTACCATTCTCTAAGGGATCCTTCTGTGTGCTTTACCTAGCCTGTGAGACTCGAAGCTACGCTGGGAGCTTTTAAGTGGAGGATTGCACTCCACTGCGTGAGCAGGAAGGATCCTCAAAGGTCTAGGCTTCAGATGATCGCTGCTTTCTTGGACAGCGCTATGTATGGAGGTTTGGTTTTTAAAAGAACACTACTAGTATATAAAGACAGCCAACCTTCTAGAGGATTTTTCCCTTTAAGGACTTCAATATGGATATGGTAGTGACAGCCATTAGAAGATGTTGACTGTTTTATTACTATTTTCGGAAACAGCAAACCTGAGGCAGCATGTGCCACACTGGCTCTGCCATACTGGCCTTTGGCTGTGTGTGGGAAGTGTTCATACAAAAAGTGCCCATAAAACAGAAGGCAGCAAGTGAAAATAGAAAGGTTGGAGCTGTGAAGCGGGGCTGTGTGAAGCAGAGCTGGAAGGAGTTACCTTTTAAAATTATTTTCTTAAATGAGTTGAGAATTGGGGTAAAGTGCAGGGGCATCTGGATTTGGGCCCTCTATTGACATCTTGACGTGAGACAGATTGACTGACTGTGGAGTCAGCAAGAGACACTCCAGCGAACAGTCAGTTCTTCAAATATAAGATGATGCAAAACAAAACCACAAATTAAATACACAATACTGAGAAAAATTCAGACTTTAAAAAATATAAATAAATACATTTAGCCATTTTATTCAAGAAACCCAGAGAACTGCTTTCAAAGCAATTGCTTTCAACCACTTTCTAAATCCTCTCATAAATACTATTTTGATTGTCACTTAGTGCAGCACCTCTGTTTGCTGGTGGTGGTGACAGAATTTCACTTAGTAGTCTCCTCAGAAACTATAATTCTTCCTATTTTACTAGGGAACATTTCCCTGGGAAAACCCAGGCAGCTTATAAATCATTCAAATACTCAAAACCTGTAGAGTATTACCTAAGAAAACCAAGGAATGTAGTGTTATGACAATGGGGAAAAAATGCAAAACAGTCACATGGGGAAAAAATATTTTAATTTTTAAATTTCCAAGTTTGCTTTATTTCTTGTGATCTGTTCAACACTTTTAAATATCCTAAATTAATAGCTATACCAACATAATTCATCCCCAGTGTTTCCACAGGGATGAACATTAAAATAAGACCAAATTATATGTTTTTTTCTTCAACCAAAGGAGACATCTCAGTCCTTTTTGTGCTTAAATATTACAAAAACAAGTCAAATGGAAATGCTGAAATCACATGCCAACATTTCAGGGCACATTTAAAACACTCAGTAATTCTTGAAATTATTCTAAAATATTACTACCAATCACTTTTAGATCAAATCTGTGCATCTACTCACATGGATGCAATTTTCCTAGATCTCTGAAAATGAACGGGCTCATTGGTCTCTTTTGGTGTCCACACAATAGGCAAGATAGGTTTACAATAGTGTTTAAATGGAACTAGGCATCTACAATCTCCTGACTCCACCACATTCAAAACAAAAGAGTTCATTTGGCTACCTTGAAATCACTCCCATAAACCTACTACGGTTCACTGGATCTAAACATTTCTCAGAAATGTCATTTATAATTTCACCAAGTGATGATTTGGGGATCCTTTGGAAATGGTTAATGCCTAAGATAATAAACTTTATCAAAATGAATAATTGCAATAAAGTGCTTGTTACATTTGAAAATGATGCTTTTAAACTGTGGTATGTTGTTTTACGTGTGTGCTATACCTCCCATAAAGGATCCCCAGGCATGAGATTCTGGTCTTCTCACTTGTCTCAAAAAGCAGCAGCACTATCTTTTGGTAGGCTGACAATAGGCACATTACCCATGCGGATGAAGCTACACTAGGGCTATGGGGGGGGGGGGGGGGGGGGGGGGGGGGGGATTAGAAAAGAGGGAGGCATGTGGAGGGAATCTACTATACTCAGTTATATACAAATATATTAAATATGCTATAAAAATAGTCTTTTCCTTTGCAATTACTTCAGAGGCTCCTTTTAGAAGAATGCTCCTCCAATCCAGACAAACTTAAAAGGTCTCCTCCAATTACTGTATTGTACTATTAAAATGGCAAGTGCCTTTGTGCTGTTTCTTCACCAATGAAATGTTCCATCAGCTTACTCCTGGCTAAATGCACTCAGCAATATTAATATCCAGTGTTTATACCTTCTGTGGATTCCTGTGGGACTAAAAACAGGACCACAGATGTTGGAAAGGTTATAGATTTGAGTGAGTTTTACACAAATGTTCAACAAACCTTCAATAACCAAAGAAACAGAAAAAAGAAATACAAAAGTAAAATGCTATCTGCATTCCACTTAAAAGTTTGCCTCGACAAAGTGGAAACATTTTTCAACACATGGAGTAATACTCAGTTGAAAAGAATTTCCACCTGTGTAGACTGCTAATTTAAGGGTCCCTCTCTAAGGCTTCTTGAACAAGGGTTCATCTTCCTTCAACACAATGTCCTTTAGAGAGCTGGACTGCTTCAGTGCTCCTGACTTCAAGAGACTGCTTTAAGGCAATGACCAACCACTATACCACACATCTAAAGAATCCTAACTCCCACAACCGCACTGTAACGAGCATCCAAATTCACTGGCATCCTTTTGTTACTAGCACATTCCTAAGCCACATCTAATTGACCAACCAGAGCATAGCAATAAAATAGCCCCCTGAATTTAGGATGGAGTTGGGAAACCAATTTACTTACATGCTACTCCCATCCACCACATCTGCTTTTTCTCCCATATTTTCCACTTAGGAAAAAGAAAAGTATGCTTAAGTGTCTAGGTTCTGGTTTGACGCCACTCTCAACAGCAAATTTCTTAACCCTTGCTGGTCTCATACTTGTCACTAATGCCGACTCATCCCAGGCCTCAGCAGTCCAACGCAAGATAAGTGTACAGCAGCTAGCATTTTTCCTTTAAAAAGTGTCACCCAAAATAAAGTGTTTCTAAGAAGAACTAAATCCCTTTGAGAGTAATGTGGGGAGAAAACTTTTAAGAAGCTGAATGGTGTTCCTATTTGGTACCTTTTTGTAGTTTTGATTTGGGATTTTAATTAACTTTGGCTATAGAAATGAATGAAGAACAGGCCAGTGCTGAAATCTTCATCTGAATGCTTCCCTCAAGGCAGAGAAGACGGACAAAGCTGCAACCCAGATTTAAGGGAAGCAGGAGGAAGCCAAAGGTAAAGAAGAGGCAGCTGAGGCTGGCTGTGTTTTTGGACAAAATTCTCCACAGACAGTAAAGGAAAAGCAGGCAGTTGCTTTTAAAATTTAGCTACACTAATTTCACACACGAAAAAGATGAACTGTGAAGAACAAGAATTATAAAGCAAAAGTTTGTTTAAATTTCCCAGATAGTTGTGAAGATGCAAATTATTTGAAGGGCTGGGGGCAGGAGAATGTGAATTTGTAGTAATCTACCTTGTGGCTTAGCTTAGGCTTTGCTTTTGTTAAGCACATAGTATTCACAGTTCATGATCTTTCTTATAAGTGTGGTACTTAAAAGATAAACCTTAATATAATACTTCTTCATATCTTTTTGTTAGCTCAATTCTTATTATTAGATATTGCCAATAAATAAGTGAGGCACAACTCAGATACACACAGTATAAGGAATGGCGTAAGATTGAGAAAGGCAATTTGGAAGGGGAGAAAAGCAACGCTGCTGCAGTGTTTTACATTGGTGTGCATGTCTCTATGCTCAGGTACACAGATCCTGACAACTACCCAACTGTTGGGAATCTGGGTAATCAGCTAGAAGAATACTTCTCTGATATGTTAATTACTGACTGGCATCTAGTCACACTTCTTTTGTAGAAGAGTAGGTACCAACCATCTTTGGTTATTTTCTAATTTAATTCAGACCACAAATAGCTTTTTAAATAAAAAAACAAAGTATATCCCTTAAGGATAATAGCAAAGCTGAAGACAAAAAGAATTGCCTTAGCGTTCTCAAGCCCTTAGCATTCTGCACTTTTTTCATTGCTCAAAACTTTTTCTGTTTAACAGCCTTAACTCTTATACATTTGAAGGTCAATTTTGGTTTCTTATTCTTATTTTCCTCTTGTTTCTCAGTAATAACTTCCTATATTCAAATAAGGAGTTTTCCTAATCTTTTGTTCTACAGTTGTAAATTTCATTATTAGTACCATAAAATTTAAAAAATATTTTTTTAAGTATATGTAACTTGTGTTGGAATTTATTACCTTTAGAATGTAATATTGCCAGGTGAAATCTTAGTGCATGTTTAGAGAGCATGTGAGTTACAGTGAACTGGTGTTGAAATGAAGGCAAAGCCAATTCCTGCACCTTTTTGTAGGAATAACATCACATTGAGCAAATATTTACTCAAGTGACTATTTAGCTTTAAAGGAAGATGCTAATTTAGGGAACTATCTGGGATCACATTAATAATTGTGATAGCATTAGGTGGTCATTTTATTTTTTATTTGTCTTCCTGTTCAAGAGACTCACAGCAGTCTTCATAGGGACTCAGGAGAATAATGACACAGACACCCACATGCTATTAAAAATGTACTAAGGTTTCAAAATTGCTACTGAAACCAGACAATGAATTCAAGATGGTGATTTATCACCTGAATTAAAATCAAGGCACTATGGGTTTTTTCCCCCCTCAAATAACCCTGAATCATTTCTGACTAAAATAAGCATTGAAACTGTGAAGGATAATAAAAAGATTCCAACAAATCTTAAAAGTTAAAATTCTCAGCATTGAGAACATTAAAAAGTGCCTAAATCTTGTGTGCAAACTTTACTTCTATAACTGAAACATTCTTGAAATTACTTTCAGGCTTGTTGAAAACCATTTACATAAATATTTCCAACTATGGAATACATCAAAAAATGTGATCAAACTCCCAACCATCAAAATAAAAGCAGTGCAAATCCTATTTTCAAACATATTTGAAAAATAATGAAATGAGGGATATCTATTAATAACTTGAAAAATTCTGTTGTATCAATAATTTAACCTGAAAAAAGAAGAGATCCATTCCCAGCAGCACATCAGACCTCACTGAACAAACTGTGACATCACAGCCAAAGTATGAACAAAAAGATTTGTGCCCCGGAAACATGAGTAGAATATTACTGTGTTGTAAACAAAAGGAAAAACAGAGGCTGATGTATCAGTTTGTACATGGTGTGGTGGGCTAATGAAATGCACTCCTAAGAAGAGTTAATGCTTTCATGCAGTGCACACATGGTTTGCTTTCTCTTCTTCATCCAGGCATATACATAGTTTTACAATACCTGTACATACAGCATTTGAACCCACACAACATTCTGAAAGTAAGTACAGTTCCATCGTTACGTGAAAAGGGGAGGGTTAGGGATGGGGGACACTTGATTCCTGGACTGTCTTCAATGGCATCATCGTAAGCAAACCCAACGTGGCAGCGATGTGTCCTTGGTAACACTAAGTAACAGGCACAGAACCACTAGAAGGTACTAACATTGTTAGTGCCTTTTTGTTTGCTAGAGATCATTCCACAGCTGAGCTTCTTAACATTTGGCAATATACTCCTTTTCCATGAAAAATACCTGGGCAACTGAAACCCTGTCAGAATTGGCTACGTCCCTCCAACCATCTTCCTGCTGGCTGGTGTTTAACATACAGCTAGGCAGCATTTTCCTGCTGACTAATCCAGGAACTACAACATTCAATACTGCATTGCATGAATCTGCTGCAACTTTTTCCTATCCTCAGTTCATCTGAGCAAGTCTTTCTGAACCATCCCTTCCTCCCTCGGCATCAGAGAGGAAGCATGAGTGCTACTGTGGCTGAACCTTAGAAGGATCGGTCAGACTGTCAGTCCTGTGACGACCAAGTTGCTGCACTTGCTGGGACTGCTGTTGCTGGTGATGTGACTGAGGGAAGCTGCTCTGCTGTAGTGGAAATGCAGCAGACAGGATGAGCTGAGTTGAAGGGTTCCCATGGAGCAACCTGGAAGCCTAAGAACAAATGGGTTATACAGCGTCACTTCACTCCATTACACTGTCTAGAAAAGATTTACTCAAGTGTCCACAGAGGCAAGAACCTTTAATTCTCATTTTTCCACTGTCATTTTTCCCCTTTAGAGATCTTACTTTTGGAAAATGCTTATGAATCTCTCTTTTTGAAAGAATAATAGTTTCACTTTATAAAGGAATATCTGGGCTAGAATTTCGTGTCTTGTTTTGTGACAGGGCCTTGCTATGTGGTTCAGGCTGGCCTTGAGCTCGCAATGCAGCCTGGGCCACCCTCACAGTTGCAGACGTCCTGCTTTAGCCTCCCACGTGCTGGGTTTAGACATGCACTATTACGGAAGCTGTAGTCTTTTACTTTATGTCCTCAGAGCTTGATTTTAATCAGAGTAAAACTGGAGCACAATGGTGACTGGGACATAAAGGTGCTGTGGCCTAACAGCCAGTGCTTCTGCACACAGGTCCACCTGCTGGTAAAGGAAGCAGCCAGCTGAGTCAGGCTGTAAGGAAACCGGATTCACTCTGAGGTTGCCCAGTCTACCAAAGTATGACTTGGTCAAGTACTTTATTTCTCTAAACTTTAGGTTCTTTGCTTACCAAATAAGAATAACAGTGTCCATTACATTGAGTTTTATAAATATTAAATACTATTGTTACTTAAAAGCATTATAAAAGTTGTGAACAAAATTGGAGGCTTATATCTTGTATGTAGTAGTGTGAGGTCACAAACAAAAACCAAAAGGCCAGATCTTAAACCTATCTCCAACAAAATAAAATAAAATAAGCTCCACAGTGATCACTAAGACTGTACTTATGCTTGAATATATACTGAATCTCCTAATTATATCACACGTCATATACCTGAAAAGGATGACATATGCTCAGTCCACGACAAATCAGTGCTATTTGCAGTCAAAATTGCTCCAGCTGGGCCGGAAAGGAAATAATAGGATTTTCCAGCAAGGACACTGAGGTCCAGAAACTGCCATTGCTAATTTCTTTGCTTACCACCCTGACCTAGGTGACTTTCTCCTACTCCTATGGATAAGCAGATCCTCAATGATTTTACCCCATGGTATACCTGTGCCTGCTCTTGGTTAATCTAAATGTTTATTACATTTGTCAACAGAGTAGTAAAAAATGACACAGAGCAATGTATCTTATGCTATGCTCAACAATTTTGTCTCTTTTAAATCATGAGGTCTAGACTACTACCACTTGCACTTTATGAGCTGGGTGTGGTGCCTTATACCTGATCTTAGTATTCAGTAGGCTGAGGTAGGAGGATCACTGGGAGTTAGAGGTCAGCCTATAAAGAGTTCAAAACCAGTCTGAAATGTATAGCAAGACCCTGTCTCAAACTCTCCAAGAAAGAAAAAAAAGTTTACAAAGTTTAAATAACTTATCCAAGGTCACAGTATGTGTTATAGCAGCAGTTCAATCTCAGGGCAGCCTGACTTTACAGCCCAACCTGTAACTCTGATGTACACTATATCTTCACTGTGTTTCTCCTCTGACATTAGTTTAGAAGAAAAAAAGCTCTAATAAATTTTAATCCAACAGAATAATATAAGAAAACATCTATGCCAGTATCGGCAAACCTATGGCACATGTGCTGCAGTGGGCATGCACAGAACTCTCTCTGGCATGCGAGTCATGTGCCCTGGCAACTGAGGACTGGGTAACAGTTGTTTTTTCCTAAAATCAAACCTCAGCATTCAGGTTAAATTGCACTGTTGACCCTTTAAGATAAGTAAATTGGTTTGGGTTGCATTTGGGGCACTTGGTCTCTACAATGTTAACCATCACTGACCTATGCTAATAAAGAAGTCCTTCTTGATAACTCTGCCTAATACAAAGGTGTATGATGGGCATCTACAAAGGAAGAGGAAAGAAGTCTTTCCTCCAATTCCAGAAACTGAAGCCCAGGACAGAAGTCTACAAATGTGCCCTTTGGGCAACAGGCTACTCACTGTATTCAGCAATTCAGGTAACAGGGGTGTGTTCATGGTAGGACTAAAATTCTCCCAAACACTCAACAGGGAAGAGAAAAACTATTGGTCAGGATAAGCATTCTATCTTATAGACTTAAATCCATGAGCTTTTATGGAGTTTTCAGATCACTGACAGATCTGTTCATTTAATCCCTAACCCCATTATACATCAATGGGTTTGAGACAACCTCTCCAGGGGAATAATTACCTGTAAAAATTGCTGCTGTGGTTGGGTCAACTGAGCCTGAGATGGTTGCTGAACTGAAGGAAGCTGCTGCTCCTGGGTGCTCTGTTGCTGCTGCTGTTGTTGCTGCTGCTGCTGTTGCTGCTGCTGCTGTGTTACAGACAATGTCTGTGCCTGCTGCTGTTGTGTGGTGAAAGTAGGATAGGCAGTCACCACCTGACCCATGAGCATAGTACTAGGTACCATGACTGCCCCACAAGCTACTGGAGCAGTCACTAATTTGGTCACAAGTTGCTGACCTTGAGAAAATCTGTTAGAGAAAAAAAAAGAAAAAGTCAGAAGTACAAGGTATACAATATAAAAGGCAGTGACTCGAACATTTATCTAAAACTGTACCCAGTGATAATTCCAGTTTAATTTTATACAAGTGCCGTTCCCATTCTGTTTCTGTCTTTTAAAATTTCTTTTGGGATATCAGCAAAATGAAATATACATATAGCAAAATTGATACATGACAACAAAAACACAAGACTAACAAAATTGAACTTTAAAAGCATTGACACTCAGAAGAATGAAGTTAACTGTTACATCATATACAGAAATTAATTAAAAATTAAACAGGAGCTAACACTATAAACTCTTTGAAGAAAACAGGAGAAAAGTTTCTTGACAATAGACCTGGCAATGATTTGACAACAAAAATACAACTGACAAAATAAAACAGATAAAACGGATCATATCCAATTAAAAATTGGGGTATCAAAGGACAAAATTAACACAGTAAAAAAGTAACCTGTCATTGGGAGAAAATGTGCAAATCATGTATCTACTACATCTGATTATCATAACACATACAGAACTATTATAATCAATCATTAAAATTTGACATAAAAAGAGATATACAAATGGCCAATAAACATGCAAAAAGGTACCAACATCACTAATCATTAGAGAAATACAAGCCAAAACCACAAGGAGAAAGCTCTTTATACCCATCAACATAGCTTCTATAGGAAAACTGAACAAGAAATACCCAGTGTCGGCAAAGATATGGAAGAATTAGAGCCTTTGTGCAAAGCTGGTCAGAATGTGAAGTGGTTCAATCACTATGGAAAACTGGATGACAGCTTCTCAAAAATTAAAAAATATCACCTCATGAAGCAATTCACTTCTGCATATACAATATGAAAGAAATGAGAGAAGGGACCTGTATTCATAATAACCAAATGGAAACAACCAAAGTACCCACAGACAGGTAGAATGGGTAATTAAAGCACAGTCTATGGCCTAAGATAATGGTGCATTATAGAAACTTAAAAAGGAAGGGGAGATCCAGTCCTAGCCCAGGCCCTGTGAGTGTGTGGTAGAGCTTCCGGCTACCCTGCGCCAGCGGGACCTACCGGTCCAAGCCCAGGTGCAGCATGGGTGAGACCCTCTTCCACCATTGGGACCCCCACAACCACTCTGCAGCAACCCCCCCACCCCGCCCGCTGAGTAAGAATTTCTGCTGCGTTCTGGGGACCCCTAGATCCAGTCCTAGCTCAGGCCCGGTGAGTGTGTAGGAGAGCTGCCTCTCCTCCCACTCCACCTTGTCCCCTCCAGGCTCAGCTCAGGCCTGGCATACAGGCCTGGGGTGAAACTTTGCAGCTGCAATCTCTGCAGAGAGAGTAGGGGGCAGAACCACCCAGCTAGTCCAGGAGCAGGACATCTTGCCAGAGGGGCACAACAGGTTCACTCCCAAGGGCAGCAGCAGGAGGGAACTGAGCACAGCAGCCAGACCCAAGCCAGACACAGCTGGATAAATCCAAACTTCGTAGATCTGCACCTGAATTTCAGTAGGTGCTAAGGCTATAACTGCACCAAAGCTCTACAACAAAGGTCAGAAGACAGTGCTACACAAAATGACAATGAGAAGGAGCAAAATAGAATCTCAGACCCCAAGCCCACCCATAACAAGTGCAGAGGACACTAACACAGAACAAACTGGAAATCACACAGCTGAAATCAATGAATCAACAGCTTCTGAAATAAAGAAACAACTGCAGAAAGGTATAGAGAAACTTGGATTGGATATGAAAAATAAATCCCTGAATTAACAGCATCTGCAGTAAAGAATCAAATTCAGAAACATATGGAGGAAACCCAATGCCCACACAGAACAAGTGCAGAGGACACTAGCTCAGCTCAAATGTATGAACTAATAGTGTTGATAGTAAATAAGCAACAGCAGAAAGGTATAGAGCAACTCAGAGTGGAATTCTTTTCTGAAATAAAAAAAGAACTCTCAGAACTCATAGCATCTGAAGTAAAGAATCAACTACAGAAACATAGGAGGAAATCCAATCTGAAAAAACACTGCAGTAAAAGAATTAATAACTGCTTCTAAAGAAGACATTGATAAAAAAAATAGGGGAGATTAGAAAAATGAAGGATTCCTTGAATGAGCAATACAGGAAAGAAATAGATCGCATGAAGCAGAGTCAAAGAGATATAGAGGAACTTAAAATCTCAATCACAAGCTTGCAAAACTGTTTGAGTGGATGTGAAGACAGAGCCTTTTGGTTCTTTGAGCAGTACCATGGCAGTAAGCAAGAACAAGCGCCTTACGAAAGGTGGCAAGAAAGGAGTCAAGAAGAAAGTGTAAGTGCCGACTGCTATACTTTCCCGCTCTTTGGGGTCTACTGGAGCAATCGGATGGGTTCTCAATGGTGGTGTGCTCCCAGTGGGTTGATCCATTTTCTAAAAAAGACTGGTATGATGTGAAGGTGCCAGCTATGTTCAACATAAGAAATATTGGAAAAATACTCATCACCAGAACCCAAGGAACCAAAATTGCTTCTGATGGGCTCAAAGGTCGTGTGTTTGAATGAGCCTTGCTGACCTGCAGAATGATGAAGTTGCCTTTAGAAAATTCAAGCTAATTACTGAAGATGTTCAGGGCAAAAACTGCTTGACTAACTTCCATGGAATGGACCTCACCCAGGACAAAATGTGTTCCATGGTCAAAAAATGGCAGACCATGATCGAAGCTCAAATTGATGTCAAGACTACTGATGGTTATTTGCTTCAACTGTTCTGTGTTGGCTTTACTAAAAAATGCTACATTCAGATATGGAAGACCTCCTGACACTCAGCACCAACAGGTCTGCCAGATCTGGAAGAAGATATGGAAATCATGACCCGGGAGGTGCAGACAAATGACTTGAAGGAAGTGGTCAACAAACTCATTCCAGACAGTATTGGGAAAGACATAGAAAAGGCTTGCCAATCTATCTTCTTCATGATGTATTTATCAGAAAATTAAAAATGCTGAAGAAGCCCAAGTTTGAATTGGGAAAACTCATGGAGCTTAAAGGTGAAAGTAGCAGCTATGGAAAGGCTAATGGAGATGAGAGTGGAGCTAAAGTTGAACGAGCTGATGGATATGAACAACCAGTGCAAAAATCCGTTTAAGATCCAGATTTTTAATAGTGATAAATAAAGTCCTATTTGTGATGGAAAAAAAAAGTGAAGATGAGTTTCAGATCTTGAGGACACTGGTGCACCTAGTGAAAAGGTAAGAAAAGATCTCTTAAAAACAACAAGGATGCAGGAAAAAAGTAATCACTTGCAAGACAATGTAAAAATGAACAATGTGAGACTAATAGGTATCAATGAGAAAGGAGTCATTACAAATGACATTAAAAAAATATATGCAGAAGTAATAGCAGAAAACTTCCCAAATATGAGGAAACAATCTGACATCCAAGTAACCGAAGCATACAGAACACTAAGTAACCTCAACTCCATTAAAAACACACCGAGACATATAACACTCAAGATCCCTGAAATTCAGCTCAAGAATAATATACTGAAAGCCACTAGAGAAAAGAAGCAGATCACACTCAAAGGAAAACCCATCAGAATTATGACCGACTTTTGTTCACAAACCGTGAGGGTAAGAAGAGCATGGAGCAGAGTACTTCAAGTCCTCTATGAAAACAAATTTGAGCCCAGACTACTATAGCCTCCAAAACTTTCTTTTAAGATTGATGTAGAAGTGAAATAATTCCATGACAAAGAGCAACTAAAGAATTTTATGATGACAAAGCCAACACTACATAGGTTACTGAAAGATGTTCTAGAGGGACCAAAAATGATCAGAACTCCACGAATGAGATCAGAAGAAACCAACTAAATAGGG